CTCCATGCCACGTCCCTCCTGAGGCCCTGTGATGACAACATGCCCTGTCATCCAGGGTCACCCCAGGCCCACTCCATAATGATTCCACTAGCAGGTGCATCCACACTTCCCAGGAGTACTCCCATCTCCCCGCTCCCAGGCCCACGATGGGTAGACAGGGCCTTCTGAGCTGAAGCCCAAGTAGTGAGGAAGACAGGGTCTTTTGGGGTCCAGCCTGGAACAACCTCTGAAGGGCCAGGGCAGGCCCAGTGTCCTCAGGGCCCCATGGTGGCTTCCTGGGGCAGCCCTAACCCAAGGCCTAGGTCTTGGGATCCTGCTCAGGGGAGCTATGCCAGCCTCCTGCAGCACAGGCTGAATCCATGTCTTCTTTTCTTTTGTCTTCCTTCCTTTCTTTTTAATAAAGATTTATTTATTTTTATTGGAAAGGCAGATATGAAGAAAGAGACAGAAAGATCCTCTGTCCAATGGTTCACTCTCCAAGTGACCGCAATGACTGGAGCTGAGCTGATCTGAAACCAGGAGACAAGAGCTTCCTCTGGGTTTCCCATACGGGTGCAGGGTCCCAAGGCCTTGGCCATCCTCAACTGCCTTCCCAAGCCACAAGTAGAAAGCTGGATGGGAAACAGGGCCTCTGGGATTAGAACCAGTGCCTATATGGGATCCTGGTACGTTCAAGGCGAGGGCTTTAGCCACTAAGCTATCACACCAGGCCCAAATCCATGGTTTCTAATGAGAGTCAGGGTGGGGACCAGCTCATGCCGAATGCATTTTCAGGTGACTCTGGCTTGATCCTCTGACACAGGCCCTTCGCTCTTCTCTAGTCCCAAGTCTCCTCCAGGCCCCATGGGCATCCCTGTCACACTTGCTAACAACTTATCCCCAGCCTCTCTCTGAAAGCTGAGTGCCTGGGCATCTGGGGTGACCAGGAGAGCCCCCATGCTCCTAGCATCATGGCTGCAGTGATGTCAGAGGGAGCTGTAGCATTGGCCGCTGGGCCCCATGGTGTCCCAAGCTGGACTGAGTGCTTAGCTGGAAGCCTGGATCTTGACCTCAGTGTTCCCGGGCTTTGCTCGATGCTCTGTCTGCTTCTGGATCTCTAAACACGTCAAGCCTTTCATTCAGCTGCTCTCCCTGCTTGGCAAAATCCAGGGCAGACCTGTTCCAGGTTTCCAGAACCTGATTTGACTCCCCAAACAGGTGTGGGCAGATGGGGCTCAGGAGGCCTCCTGGCAGCCTCCCTCAGGACCCTGATGCTGAGTGGTCTTAGGATAGAGGTTGAAAACCACAGGGCGGCCCTTGGGGTCAAAAGAAGCAGGGTCCCAGGGCAGGTACCCATCTCCAAAGCTCAGTGCTTGCTCCCTGCTGCCAAGCCAGGGGGGTCAGCACAGGTGTGGACAGGGATGAGGGCAGCCACACTTCCAGGGCCAGAAGATTCAGCTGCTCCCTGTGGGCAGCTCCCCCAGGACTGAGCCCCACCCCCACCTTGTGCATGCCCCTGAGAGTGCTGCAGGCCATCTCCCTCCTTCTCTGCTGGTCCCGAGACCTCACCATGGGGATCCCATGAGAAGCAGAACTACCTGCTGCATGGGGCCCCTGGGAGCTCCAGGCTGCTGCAGCTGGAGCAGGTTCAGGCCAGACAGCTCCGTGCTGTAAGTGAGCTGTCTGCCTCACATCCCCGTGTGTATTCCAAGGACTTCAGCCCATGGTGTATGCTGGTTTCCTGGCAGACACAGCAAGACTTCAGGAGAATTTAGTAATAATTCAAAGGCAGGCCTGATACCACCACCCCCCCACTGGTATGGTGGGCAGTTTCCTCCATAGCAACTGAGGCTGGACTGCCTGTGCCCAGTGCTGTCATCTGCACACCATGGCCCCTTTGTGTGCTTCTCTGAGGAGTGGACATGGCCACTGGTCCGTCCCTGTCCCACTCCTTGAGCTCAGGTGGTGCAGCCTACCCTCCTGGCTGGTTCCCTCCCAGTGGGTTCTTGCCTGCACCTGGCCTCGATGCCACCCTCACCTCACAGAGGGTGGGAGTGTGGCACTAGCCACCCTCTGAGACTGCATCCCTGTAGATCACCGAGCTGCGCACCAGGGCTCGCCAGCAGGCCTCTCTAGCCTTATCCCTGAGCAACGACCTCATTTTGTGGATCCATCGTCCATCACTTGTTGCTCTGAGGATTGGAGTGAGGAACTGTGCCTCTAAAAATGTGTGTTGCAGGCAGCTCTGTACCTGGACCTTGATGCCCAGAGCGCATGGCAAAGGAACGGACCCACCTCTGCATGGGCCATCTGCGCCTCCGGGCTAGATTAGTCGGGCCTGCATGCGCCCCGCCTCTGCCCATGTGCCACCCCCCTCCCCCGTGAGGCCATCCCTGCCCTGCCTCGTGTGTCCCAGGCTGCGGGGGCAGGGGGAGCTGAGTGGGGCGCTGGGAGAAGGTCGTGTTGACCCACTGGCCGCACAGTGGGCCGCACTGGCCCACAGACCCACTGGCCGCATCCACGCAGTGTGCTAGGGCTGGGACTAGAGAGACAGGGAACATCGTCTGTGGGGAGAGCACACCAGGTCAGTGCCGCCTGGGAGCGGGCAGGGACCAGGCGTTTGTGCCTACCTGTCCCTCTGGGGAGCAGATCTTGGAAACCCTGTGCCCTGGGCCATAGTGGCGTGCCCAGACGGCGGTGGAGTGCACTCCAGGGAAGGTGCAGGTGGTCCTGGGCATCAGGAGCTGGCAGCATGAGGGGCGCGTGCCTTTGTCTGCATCCTATACGCATTGCCTCTCTAGCTGCTCCCGAGGCCACGCTCACCTGAGGGAGCTGAGCTCTTTGTCTAGGTGCCACCCATCTATGCAGGTTGAGTACACACTGCCTGCAGCCCCTGAGGGTTAGCACTGTCCTTGGCAGGCAGCGGGCACCTGGCCTGCAGTGACCTCCATCTCTGCTCCGTGGAGCCAGGGAAGTTAGCATTGCCCAGGAAGGGAGCCAGCTTAGAGGCACAGCGCCCCTTGTGCCTGTGCTGACCAGGGGCTGGGGCTTGGGCAGCGAGCTCTGCATTCTTGGGAGTTGAATTCCAATGCCTGATGGCAGGGCGCTCCTGACCAAACTTCTCAACAGCAGGTCAGCCCTCAGCCTGTCCCCTGGCCTCCTTCTCTGTGTGCTGCTGGCCCCTGTGCCCACCTAAGGGGTGCCTGGGCCCAGGGCTTCCGTCTCTGCCAGCATCTCACACTGATTGGGTCTGGGCTCCCTGCACTGAGGGATGTGGACCTGTGGGCCTTCCTCACAGAGATGAAGGGGCCATGTAACCTGGTTTCAGTCCCTGGCCTCATCTTGGTGGTCCTCATGGACATGCCTGGCCTGAGGGACCCTGGGGAGCCCTCACTGCTGTGCCTTGACCTCTCCCTACCACACCGTGCCCACCTCCCTAACCCCTGCAAGTCCCACCTTTTCCTGTGGTCACTGCCTCCACATTCATCTGCTCAGACCTATGGTTCTTGCCCAGTCCCAAGCTACAGGGCCCTCTGGCTTTCTCTGTGGGTCAGGAGGGTGCCCCTGGCTGTGAGGACCCCACAGGGTGTGGGAATAGCCAGCAACCCTGTGTTTGGAGCTGGGGGTTGGGCTGCAGCCTACTGTGGCAGTGGGGATTCCATTGGAGTAGTGGTGACCTATGGCAGGTTAGGGTCAGTCCAGGATTCCATAGCTGGGCTTCCAGGGTCATGGTGGGGACATCACCCCTCCCTGCTTTGTGGCTGTTCCTGACTCCCTGTCCATAGGCAGGGCCCAGAGTCTTCCCTACCTGCTGGTCACTGGAACCCTGTGGTGCAGCCATGGGGCACACCAGGCTCACTTGCCCTAGGAGCTTTGAGATTAGGAAGGAAGTGGGGCTCCCACATTTCAGCCCCCCTGCACAGGTCTGGGCTTGGTGGGTTTGCTGAGCAGGACATGTGCCCACCCTGGGAAGCTGCTCTCCGCTCTCATTCTCAGCTGGCCCCTGGCTGTGCCTCTGCTTTGGCATTCATGTGAGCTGGTCACCTGATGAGGGCACAGCTGGGAAGGGAGAGCAGCGTGTGTGTTCCGTGCAAGGTGGGAAGGCAGCCTGTCCTGGGGCTCTTGCCCCACCTTTCTCTTGCATGCTCAAATGAACATTGGCTAACTCCCTGTCCCCTCCAGCTGAAGGGGGACTGGCAGGACTCCTAAGTGTCCCCCCATTGCACATGGCCCCTGGGTTCCCTGCTCTGAAGAGGGGCTGGGTGCCTGAGTGCAGACACAGGGCCATGGCGGTGGGGAGGTGGGTGGGCTAGGAGGGAAAGTAGAGGCTCCCAGACCCCCTCTGAGCCCTTTCTCCCTCCTCAGGCATCAGTGGGCTCTGAGAAGCTCTTTGCTCCTGCAGCCAAGAAAGGTAAGCCTTCCCCTCCCACCTCCGGAGTGGGCAGCAGCTTTCCCAGCCCTGCCCAACAGGTCCCTGGGCAGAAGCTGCAGCTGGGGTGGGGTTGGGAAGGTAGGTGTTGATTTCAGGCCCCTAAGAGAGCCCCCTCTGCCTGTCCCCCTATACTATGGGAGGTTGGGGGGGGTGCTATCCTGGGAGCTCGTGGGCACAGCAGGGCCCGCTCTGGGTGGCAGAAGCAGAAGTGATTACCATAGGGTGGGACCTGTTCCACAGGGCCCGGGCGAGACGAGAATTCGGAGGCCCCCAAAGTATCGGGCCTGGAGCGCAGCCGTGAGCTCCGCACGGAGCCCTTCCCGCCGGCAGCCAGCCCCTTGCCCACCGCTGCGCCGGCGGGACGCCCCCCGGTGAAGAGGGAAGCACCCGCCACACCCCTGCACGCCGCACCACCGCCCCACAGCCTGCCCCCGACACACGTGCCTCCGTCTCTGGGCGCCTCGGCTCCCAGCAGCCTGCACGGCCTCAGGTGGGCTTGGGGCGAGGCGGGGGTCGGGCCGCGGGGTGGGGGCGGTGCCCGGGCGGCCCTGAGCCCCCTGTCCCTGCAGCAGGAGCAGCGGTGCGGGCGGCGCCGCCCTGGGCCTGGCAAAGCACGCGGCGCTGTCGCCCCTCGGGTCGGGCCCCCACCTGTCTACCTCACACCTGGCGCTCCGGGCGCAGGCGCAGCACCAGCACCACGCCGCCATGTTCGCCCCGCCCCCGACGCTGCCCCCGCCCCCGGCACTGCCCGCCAGCGGCCTGGTGGTCCCCGGAGCACCTGCCGGTAGGTGGGCAGAGCGGGGAGACCTGGCTCCCTACGTGGGTCGCCACGTCCCGCCCCGCGGCTCTCACGCGGGTCTCCTCTCCCCTGCAGATGCCAGCCTGGTGGTCTCGCTCCGCCCGCCCTCCATGTACTGCCAGCCACACGCGGGGATTCTGATCGGTACTCAGCCCCAGGCCCTTCTCTTCCCTGCCCCCTGGGCCTCGGGAGTCCCAGCTAACTGCGCCCCTCGCTCTCTGCCTTCTAGACCACGAGCTGCTCAGGCAAGAGCTGAACACGCGGTTCCTGGTGCAGAGTGCCGAGCGGCCCAGCTTTGCCCTGGGCCCAGCAGGCCTGCTGCGGGCCGAGTTCCATCAGCACCAGCACACGCACCAGCACACGCACCAGCACACGCACCAGCACACATTCGCCCCCTTCCCGGCAGGGCTGTCCCCGACACCACCTGCACCCCCGCAGGTACGAGGGCATGGGAGCTGGCAGGGAGAGGGCAGGCCCCCTAGGGAGGCCTGTCTGTGGGCTGAGTCCAGTCAGTGCCTGGAGACCTGGGTCCCATTGGAGGTTTCTTGCCAATGCTGTGAGGCCCCCAGGCCACACAGAGGCTTCCCTAGTTGGGAGCTGTCAGAATGGGCAGCTTTGCCCTGGCTCTTAGGCTGGGTCCCAGGACAAGGCTCAGCAGACTGTCTTCCCCAGTGCCAGGGGCCCAGGACCAGGGGCAGTCTGGTCACTGCCGAGGCTGGCCAGAGTGGCTACATGGGGACCGGGAGGGAGGTGGTGAAGGAGGCCTCACCCTGACCCTTTCTTCCTTCCAGTTTGACAAGCATGTGCCCAAGCTGGATGGCTCCTACTTGCGACATTCCACTGTGAGTGGGTGCTCCTGCTGCTGAGGGCCGCGCAGGGGCAGCTGGTCTAGGGTGCCAGCCCACTCACTTCCTTCCCTTGCAGCTCTTCCCACCCTTCCTGCCTGCTGTCCCCGGGCTGCCTGCCCTGCTCCCACAGCCCAGCCCCTTTGGGTCTCTGCAGGGGGCTTTCCAACCCAAGGTACGGCTTAACTGCAGGGTTGGGGGCATGGCCTGGGTAGAGAGCAGCTGCCCCAGGCGGGACCCTGATGGCCCTGGTGCGTTTCTCCTCCCCTCCCCGCACAGACTTCAAACCCAGCTGAAGTGACAGGCAGGGCCAGCACCGTCCATGCCCTCCTACAGAAGGTCCCTGGGGTAGGTGTCTACGGGGATCAGGGGGCCTGCCCCCACCTGGCCTGCCAGGCAGGCGGGCAGAGATTCAGCTGCTTCTCTCTGACCACAGGTGCCTGACTCATTCCGGACAGCAGTCAGGGTGAGCACCTGTGCGTGTCCTGGGGGAGGCACCTGTGGCACCCCAGGGTGGGCCTGGGGCGGGGAGCAAACCCGGCATACCCTGGGCGGCCTGAGGGCTGCCTTGAGACCACTGGAATGTCGGCAGGGGGTGCCGGGCCCCCACTGAGCGCGCCCGACCTGTCGCAGAAGCCAGGGAAGTGGTGTGCGGTCCATGTGCAGCTGGCCTGGCAGATCTACCACCACCAGCAGAAGAACAAGGTGAGGCCAAGCCCTGGTGTGTTTCTGGGGCACACAGCCATGTGGGTTCCTGTCAGGAGGGGGTTTGGGGCTCAGCTCCGTGTGGGCCTAGGTCAGACCCTGTGATGGGTGGCATGAGCACAGGACCTGCCCAACCTCCCACCTGGTCCTGTGCCAGAGCACCCCTGTGTGATTGATGGAAGCTCCCAGAGCCCCCCATGGGGTGGACCCTGCAGGTCCCATGGTGTCCGCAGCCTTGTGGCTCCGAGTGCCAGCCTGACCAGTGCTGGGCACTGCCCCACATGTGTTTGTAGCCAGTAACATTGGTTTTCAAGTCAATAACAGGAACCTACTTTTCCATCTGACTTTTATAAACCCCAAATAGATGCGAGTGTAGCCCCAGATGTAGGTGTCTGTGGGTCCAAGGGACATGTGAGGCTGGCAAGAACTGGCACTAGGAAGGAGTGAGGTGGCAGCTGTGGGGGCTCCCATTCCTGCTGCCTGGGGCCCAGCCCCTCCCCACCCTGGCCATACTTGTCCTCCCAGCAGGTACAGCTGGACCCACACAAGCTGGACGTGGGCTCGAAGCTGGAGCTGCTGAGCAGAGCCCCTGGTGCAAGTGTGTGTGTGGGGCTACACTACACCCAGGACCTGGCCCGGCCCCTGCTCTCCAGCACAGGTGAGGCCTGGGACAGGGGTGGGGGTCTGGCCAGGTCTTCATCCCACAGCCCCCATGCATCAGGGGCATCCCTTCCCTCCCCTCCCCATCCAGCTTTCATTTAGCAGCTGCGCTGTTGTACTGAGCTGTCTCCAAGGCACAGCTGTTGGCCCCAGCAGTGACTGTGAGGCTCTGGAGATCTGACCAGCCATGCCAGCCTCACACACACACAGGCCCGTGTCCCTGTGTGTGGCCTGGGGCCCCACTCCTGTCCAGTTTTGCTGTCTGTGAGCACAGGCCTGTCCATCCACTTCTGGACCTCCTTGTCCCCAAGGTGGTGGCACTGCCATCCCTGGATTCACTGCACCTTGGCATCCGGGACCCTGCTGGTCTCACAAGGCTCCTTAGACACATAAATCTGCCTGTTGCCCACCCCAAATTTTGGGGTGTGTCCTGAAATCAGAAAGAAAGTATCCGTTGGCTTGAGAGGAACTGGGATCTTCCGTCCATGTCAGTTGAGCTGCTGTTTCCTGCAGGTGTTATGTGCACCTGCGTGTGGAGCTCCAGGCCCCTGGGCACCTGGAACATAGCGAGTGATGGGTCAGGTACTCAGACCCCTGTTGCCCCCATGGGAGACCTGGACAGGACATTTTGGGAGTGAGCCAGTGCGTGGGAGATCTCTGTTTATCTTTCGTCCTGCCTTTCAGATAGTGAGTGGTGGTCCCTGAGGGGTCGTTACAGGCTGTCTTGGAGAGCTTGGCTGGTTTCACACCCAGACTCTGCTGTGCTTTGAGCGTGAAGGTGTTTGCCGGCCCTAGCCTGCGGTAACAGGAGTGGCTGCTGTGTGTCACTCGGACGATCTGCACCTGCAGACATTCGGCCCATGTTCTGTCTAGATGCTCCCTGCTAGGGCCTCAGCTGTCATTTCCCTGCCCTGAGCCACCTGTGTCTAGTTTTGCTCCTGAGTCCAGACAAGGATGGGGTGCCAGGGAGAGGGATGTTGTGTGCGTTTGGGGAGTGGTTTTTTTTTTCATATTATTTTTTATTGATTACATTGCACTATGTGACACTGTCTCATAGGCTCTGGGATTCCCCCAACCCCTTCCCATACCCTCTCCCCATGGTGGATTCCTCTACCTTGTTGCAATATTACAGTTCAAATTCCATCAAGATTCTTTCATTGCAAGCATGGAGTCCAGCATCTTATTGTCCAAATAAATTCAACGGTTTCTTGGGGAGACCATCTCCGGTCTGAAAGCAGAGCTTTTTTTTTTTAAGATTTATTTATTTATTTTATTGGAAGGTCAGATTTACAAAGAGGAAAGACAGAGAGAAAGCTCTTCCATTCGCTGGTTCGCTACCCAAGTGACCACAACAGTCAGAGCTAAGCCAGTCCGAAGCCAGGAGCCTCTTCCTGGTCTTCCATGTGGGTCCCAAGGCTTTGGGCTGTCCTTGACTGATTTCCCAGGCAACAAGCAGGGAGCTGGATGGGAATCAGGACTGCCGGAATACCAACTGGCACCCATATGGGATCTCAGCGCATGCAAGGCGAGGACTTTAGCCACTAGGCTACCGCACTCAGCCCTGTTTTTGGAGCTTTTTCTTTCTTTCTTTCTTTTTTTTTTTTTGAAAGGCAGAGCAAGCATCCAATTCCTGCCTCACTCCCCAGTACCCATAGGAGCAAGAGCTCCATCTGGGGTCCCCACACAGAATGTGAGGTCCCCTGGACATGGCTTTCCCAAGGTGCACATCAGTGGGAGAGCTGGAGTCCTGGGCAGCTGGGATTCAAGTCTGCCCCCCTTCAGAGGATGCAGGGCCCCCCTCATGTTCTAACCTTAGTGGCAACAACCCTACCATGAGCTTTCTGAGTGGGGGACTGGTACTGTTTCAGGTAGCTCAGCCTTTTCTGGCCTGGGTGGGTTTGGGAGAACCCTTTTGTCCCCTCCTCCTCAGCATTTTCTGGGAGTCTTTGTCCTCTGTCCTCGGTGTTGCCGGAGCTGTGTTCGTGGGCTTGGAGGAGAAGCCATTTTCTCGGCTTTCCCCTGCTGCTGTCGCTCCTCTGTCAGGAGTGGGCAGCTTTGTCCTGGTCACCTGTGGGGGTGACCAGCAGGCCTCATGCCCCTCAAGCAGGCATGACCCTCCCAGCCTAGAGCCGTGTGTGGACTGTTCTCTACATCCAGTGCTGGGTTAGGGAAGGGGCCTGTGGGCAGGATGAGGGCCTGGTCCCTGTATCCAGCAGCTGGGTTGTGGTCACCACCCACAGGGAAAGTCCCAGAAACAGGGGCTACAGGTACTGCTTGATTCAGGCATCCCCTCTCCTCTGTCCTCTCCTCAGCATCTCAGATGGGTTTGGGGGAGGGCAGGGGAGGGTCCGTGTTCTGCCCCTTCTGACTGGATACAGAGGCAGCAGGTAGAGGAATCGGGGACACCTATACTTGGGCCCCCATCAGCTGGCTACCCCTATCCAGGTGTCGCCCACCCTGCCACCACCCCCTTCGGAGCCACCACCCGTCACAGCAGCTTTCTGCCCCCTGCTCACCTGACAGCAGGTGGGTGTACCCAAGGCCCCTTCGGCACTTGTGGGGGGGGGGTGATAGGGGGTGGTTCGGGAAAGAGCACCTGCCAACTCCTGGACCAGGGGCCGTACCCCCGGACTGGAGGCTCAGGCAGCAGGCACCCAAGCACAGACCCCTGAGCCCTGGTTGTCCCACAGACCCCTTCAGCAGATCCAGCACCTTCGGGGGCCTAGGCAACCTGGGCAGCCACGCCTTTGGGGGCCTGGGCAGCCATGCACTGAGTAAGTGATCCCACCACTCTCCTCCCCACCTGGGCCTGGGCCCTGCCCACTAAGGGTTGCATTCTCTCCTCCCTGCTGGACTCTTACCTCCTCCCCTGCTGAACCTCCTCACCCAGACTGGACCCTCGGGGTGTGGCTGTCCGTTTGAGGGGGTGTCCTGGTACCATATATGGGACAACCTAGTGGGGGGAGTCAGCCCAGCACCCCACCTCCCGGCTTCTGCTCCCCACCAGCTCCAGGCAACAGCATCCTGGCCCCCAAGGAGGGCTCCTCACTACATGGCCTGCCCAGCCCCCATGAGGCTTGGAACCGGCTGCAGCAGGCACCAGCCTCATTCCCCACACCACCCCCGTGGCCCAAGCCTGGGGAGGCTCTGACCAGCCAGCCGGACAGAATCAGGGAGGAGCGGTGAGTGGGACCCCAAGGTTCTGGTCCTGGGAGGAAGAAGAGGTGGAGAGGGAAGGGGAGCGGCCCCCACGGGCCATGAGCCTCACCTGCCCTAGGTCAGTTCCAGAGGCAGCTGCAGCACTGATTGTGCTGAGACCTCCTGGTGCCCAGGGCAGGCCAAGAGGTCAGACCTTGACCAGGGGGCGCTGGGCACCCCCTGGGCACAATGGTCCAGAGGCAGGGTGGGACCCTGAGCCACAGGGTGTCCTGACTGTGAGCATCCACCTTAGGAGGGTTCCCAGTGCTTTCACAGGGTGATGCTGGGGGGTTTTGGGGTACCTGTGTGGGGGGTGCCCGGAAAGGGGACCTCAAGGGGCCGGTGTCTTCCTGTTCCAGGGATCTCCTGGAGAAGACGCGCCTGCTGAGCCGCGCCTCCCCTGCGGCCCCCAGCAGCCTCCCGGTCGCCAGCCTCCTGCTGCATTCCGGGGCCCTCATGGAGCAGGAGGCTGAGCACCGGGTCAAAGAGAGCCGCTCCCCGGCCAAGGAGGACTGTGCCCAACTGGCGGCGCACACACCCTCGCCCACAGCCTGCACAAGGGGCACCACCCTGGGCAACGTGAGGGTCAAAGAGGAGCACGGGGAGGATGAGCCGGTGTCCGAATCTGCGGGCAGCTGCCTGCACCCCGCCAAGGAGCGCCCACACGCACTGTCCACGCCCCTGCAGCTGGGCCTGGGCCGCGAGCGCCTGAGTACACCAAGCTTCACCTGGGAGCTACTGGGCCCCACCTCCCGCAGCCTGGAGCTGCCCCGGGCTCCCGGCCCCTCCGTACACTCGGAGCCTGCAGAGCGCCGCTTCCACGACCGCGAGCCGCTCGACTACGACCCTGTTCGCTGCGAGGAGCCAGAACACGCACGGTCCTCGCACCTGCTGCCCGCGGCTTCCGGGGTGGACACCGTTGTGCGGGGCGGCCTGCACTACCCACGGCTCAGGCCCGCGGCCGGCGCGCTGCACAACGGGCTTCTGGCGCGGACCCCTCCGGCCGCCGCCTCGCTGGGCGCGCCGCCCCCGCTAGTGGCCGCACCCACGCCCCCCGCGCGCAGCCGGCCTGCGCCCCTCGGCGTGGGGTCCGCGGAGGCGCGCGACTACTCCCCAGCCCGAGGCGCGCAGGAGGTGGAGGCGCGGTAGTGGCGGCCCCCGGCCCGGAGGCGGCGCGGGCCCTGCCGCAGACTGAAGGCCGATAGAGCCCAAGCACAGCTCCAGCCGGTCCGTCCAGCCTGCCGAGTCGGGGTTTGGCACAGCGTTCCCGGGGTGGGTGTCGTTTTCCGAAGTTCAAATTAGGCTCTTGTGGGGGACTGAGGAGAGAAAAAAACCAACCTACAATTTGTACGTTTTTTCCCCACAGGTGAAAAGCATTTTTAATGGATTTGTATTTTTCTTAATTTTGTGCTCTTTAAGCATTTAGAAGACCAACAACAAAAAGAACTTTTGCTTGGTAATTTTCAGTTGGGATTTGCAGTTTACTGGGCTCAGCTCTCCCAGAGCCTGGGGACGCTTTGTCTTATTTGTGGAGGAAAAACGGTCATTCTATCCAATGCACTGTGAGGCTCCCGCTCAGGCTCGCCCCCCTCTTGGTACTTGGACCCCAAGTTACAGATATATATTAAAATGATGATTAATAATAATGCACAAGACTTTGTCTTTGGCCTTATTCTGTTACTCAGAACTGGAAAGGTATTGTTTCTAAATAAGGGCAGAGACAAATGCAGCCTGTGGCACTCCGTGGATAACAGTAAGTTCTTTACCAAGTAGCTTCCTGAGAACTCCTGGTTGGTATCAGCCTGTCCCTCCAACCCCCACCCCCCCAGGCCATCCTCAGCTGTGCAAACCCTGTGCCTGGGAAAAGGCTCCGGAGCACCTTCCTGCCCTTGGAGGTGGCGGGTCCACTCGCACCCACCTGCAGCTCCCAGTGAGCTCCACTTACCCCCCAGGCCAGCTGTCCTGTGTTCCCAGTTGGGAGAGCAGACCAGGAAGTGCCAGAAGTGCAGGAGTCTAAAGGCTGATTACAAAACAACAACAACAAAAAACCTTTTGTCTACCAGATGAGCACCTTGGTGGTCGCTGTCAGCACCTGGCCCTGGCCCTGCTTTGTCCGGACTCAGAGCAAGAAGCACATTCTGCTTTCCTGTTAACCAATGAAGATAAATACAGCCTTGGCTTGGGATAAAGTTGTAGTTCAGTGTTCTGTGTGTTGAGACTAGTGAATGTCATGCATGCCTGGCTGACCCCGCCCCACCCTGGGGCACCTCAGTGGTCAGTGGTGGGTGGACCTGGGCACACTGGGAGCCTGGCCTCCCCACCCCCAAGTCCCTTGGGAGTTTTCCCTGCTGGAATCTCCCTCACGGTGGGCTCCTGCACATCCTCCAGGTGCCCTGTGGATCCTCATTGCCCTTGGGACACCAGGGGGTGTCTGCTCACTGTGTGGGACTGGTGCCACCCTCTCTGCCCTAGCTCCATCGAGACCCAGGAAACAAGGCTCTGGGAGAAGATAGAGAAAGGGTGGGGTTTCCCACCTGTGCAGCAGGCATCAAGCCTCTTGGGTGTGCTTTTGCCAAGCGCTTGCCTGCCACTGCCTGCTGTGGAAATGAGGTGCTGACGTGGCCCCAGTCACTCAGCCTTCCTAGTTGAACGAGCAGTCAGCCAGGACTGCTCCATTCCTAAATAGAGACCCAGGGAGTTCTAGGGACAGCGGGGTGGCAGGAGGCTTCCCAGAAGGTCACTGAACTAGGCTATCAACCCCACGAGGTTTCTTCACAGTGGCTTACTGCTTGGGTCAGTGCTGCTCAGGCCTGTGCCAAGCTGCAACCAGGACCTTTTCTCTGCTGGATCCATCCTTAAGTGCCATTGTCATCCCTCTTATTGTCCAGCAGGGCTGCAGCCGCTCCCCTCACCATGATTTGCAGGGATAGGGTGCATTGGAACCATTGTCAGGGTTCCTGTTGTGCCCTTTGGCCTGGGGTACACCAGTGCCTGCAACATGACTGGCCAGAGGCTAGGACAAAAGAAGCCCAAAGAGGCAGGTGGGGTGGGCCGCAAGTGGTGGTGTGCAGGAGAGACTGCTTGGGAGCTCAGGAATGTTGCGCAACATTTTTTGAGCTAAAAGCCTAAGGACACAAGTATACAGCCACAAGCAGGGGTCAAGTTCTGACCAGGCCACTTGGGGGTGCTGCATTGGTCCCTACTAGTGGGGTTGGCAAAAGCTCCACATTGCTCCAGAGTGCAGCCTCAATGATGCAAAAGGTGAACATCAGGGACAAAACCCAAGCGAACTCTGTCCATGGAAAGGCCTGTGAGGGCAAATGAGAAAGGCACTCTCCAGCGCAGCCTCCTAGGATCTCTGAGGAAACACATCCTGGGGTAACCCCCTGAGGGACACACTCCCATGGTCACATTCAGAAGACACTCCTGGAGTTACTCTTTGAGGGGACACACACTCCTGGAGTTACTCTGAGGAGACACACACTCCCGAGGTTGCCCCCTGAGGAGACACACACTCCCTGGTTGCCCCCTGAGGAGACACACACTTCTGGAGTTACTCTGAGGAGACACACACTTCTGGAGTTACTCTGAGGAGACACACACTCCCGAGGTCGCCCCCTGAGGAGACACACACTCCCGGGTCGCCCTCTGAGGAGACACACACTCCCTGGTTGCCCTCTGAGGAGACACACACTCCTGGAGTTACTCTGAGGAGACACACACTCCCTGGTTGCCCCCTGAGGAGACACACACTCCCGGGGTTGCCCCCTGAGGAGACACACACTCCTGGAGTTACTCTGAGGAGACACACACTCCCGGGTCGCCCTCTGAGGAGACACACACTCCCTGGTTGCCCTCTGAGGAGACACACACTCCCGGGTCGCCCTCTGAGGAGACACACACTCCCTGATTGCCCTCTGAGGAGACACACACTCCCGAGTCGCCCCCTGAGGAGACACACACTCCCGGGGTTGCCCCCTGAGGAGACACACACTCCCTGGTTGCCCTCTGAGGAGACACACACTCCTGGAGTTACTCTGAGGAGACACACACTCCCGGGTCGCCCTCTGAGGAGACACACACTCCCTGATTGCCCTCTGAGGAGACACACACTCCCTGATTGCCCCCTGAGGAGACACACACTCCCGGGGTTGCCCCCTGAGGAGACACACACTCCCGAGTCGCCCCCTGAGGAGACACACACTCCCGGGGTTGCCCCCTGAGGAGACACACACTCCCTGGTTGCCCTCTGAGGAGACACACACTCCCTGGTTGCCCTCTGAGGAGACACACACTCCAGGGTCACCCCCTGAGGAGACACACACTCCTGGAGTTACTCTGAGGAGACACACTCCCAGGGTCGCCCCCAGAGGAGACACACACTCCCCAGGTCACCCCCTGAGGAGACACACACTCCTGGAGTTACTCTGAGGAGACACACACTCCCGGGTCGCCCTCTGAGGAGAATCACACTCCTGGAGTTACTCTGAGGAGACACACAAACCTTGGTTGCCCTCTGAGGAGACACACACTCCCAGGGTCGCCCCCTGAGGAGACACACACTTCTGGAGTTACTCTGAGGAGACACACACTCCAGGGTCACCCCCTGAGGAGACACACACTCCTGGAGTTACTCTGAGGAGACACACACTCCCGTGGTGGTTGCTTCTGAGGAGACACACACTCCTGGAGTTACTCTGAGGAGACACACACTCCCGTGGTGGTTGCTTCTGAGGAGACACACACTCCAGGGTCGCCCTCTGAGGAGACACACACACCCAGGGTCGCCCCCTGAGGAGACACACACTCCCTGGTTGCCCTCTGAGGAGACACACACTCCAGGGTCACCCCCTGAGGAGACACACACTCCTGGAGTTACTCTGAGGAGACACAATCCCATGGTCACATTCAGGAGACACTCCAGGGTCACCCTCTGAGGAAACACACTCCCGGGGTCACCATTTGACGGAGCCACTGCCTGGGTCACCCTCTGAGTAACACACTCCCTCAGTCACCCTCTTAGGAGACACAATCCAGGGGTCGCCCTCTGAGGAGATACATTCCTGGGGTCGCTCTTGGTGGATACTTGAGAGGTCACTAACCTAGCTACACATTTCTGGGGTCACTCTGAGGGATATCACCCAGCACACCCCCTGTCCAAGACAAGAGTGTGGGGTAAGGAGAAATGGCAAGAACATCTGCACCCCACTTCCTCACCAGCCCCAGCTTGCAGACACACTAGTTGCTCAGCTCTCCCGATCTGACGGAGTGTTCTCTGTTAACCTGGCTACCTCACTGACCCCAGTTTGAATTTTGGGCACTCTCTCAGCTTTGCCTTGCCCCATTCTACCTCGTTCCCTGGCCCTCCACTGCTCTCAGCCTCATGTCCTAACTCCTCTAACCCGTGGACGAGAGCCTGTGTCCCAACACCCCACAACCTGAACCCAGGCTCTTGAGCTGTCAGGTATCACCGCCCAGCAGCGGCACTACCTACGAGGCACACTCTTAGGGTCTGGGAAAAGCTGGAACCGCAACCGGACCCCTCACTGCCAAAAGCAGCTGCGCTTAAACCCTTCTCTCTGCTGCCCCTTTCCCCATTGGTCTTAGCTTTTCTCCTCAGTTCTCCAGCCCTCTCTCCACCACCCTTCTTCAGGCTCCTCCCGCTGCTCTAGCTCCAGCCCTGGTTCCTTTCCCCTCTCTTTGCTTTTAGCAGCTGCTTTTATACCACTCTCCACCAATCACTTCTCCCCGTGGATCCACTTGGCGTTACCTGATAGGCCAGTAGCAATGACGTAATCACAGCAAGGGCAACAGCCTATCCCTGTGACTTTCTGTTTACCTGCTGATGAGACAAACTCCACCTCCTGGCCCTGGCCCAGCCGCCATCTTGGGACGGCCCCTCCCAAACCCGCAGCGGCTTCAGCACCCCGCTCCCCACAGTCAGGGCTGTCAGCCATGATAGGGAGTGCTCTTCAGTGTGGTCCCTGGGCGAGGGAATGCTGGCAGGGCTTCCGCACCCTCCTGGACCTGGACCTGGACCTGAGCCTGCCCACAGGGCCACCCAGCTCCAGTAGCAGACACCATCAACCACAGCTGCCCAGGGAAATGGAGCGGCCGTGACACAGAGTCTTCATGCAGTCAGTGGTATTTATTTAGGACATGGTCATGGCTGTTCTCCAGCCACCTGCCTGGGATCAGTTTTCTGTCCAGGTGCGATGGTCTCTTGTGAACAACACTGAGGTCCAGGGTGGTTGCTTGCTGCATTTCACATCACTAGAAAAAGTGCCAGAGTTGGGGACTGTCCAGGGAGAGACTGCCCCACCCCAAGGTTCTCTGATCACCTCTGGGCTCCCCGGGGTTGAAAGGGTTGGATCTGGTGAGGCAGCTCAGCAGACGGGCAACTGAGAACAGCACTAGACATGCAGGCCACAGGCATTACGCACACAGTGACCAAGGGACACTCAGATAGTGACCAAGGAGACACATACAGTGTGTGTTTCAGTGGAGTCTGGCCCTATCATGTGAACCTGAGACCCTGCAGCTCTTCATGCCCTCCTTGACTTGCTTTCCCTCCTGCTGATCTATGCCCCAGGGCTGACTCTCATCTGGAAACACTTTCCCCCCAAGGCCAGCTAGCTGGATTCAGCCAGTATTTGGGTCCGAAGGCAGGTGTGAGAGAACTGGGGTGGCCCTGTGTCTGCCTTTCCCTACAAGCCACATGCACACAAACACATGAACAGTGTACAATATACATGTATGCCTGGTGTACAATGTATCAACACGGGTGTACAAGGTGCACAGGTGCACAAACAGGCCTGGACACAGCCCTCTTCTGGAGCTTAATGGGCTCCAGGACCATGTCCCTCACCCTGTTGCCAGCTCCCCATCCCTTGTTGTCACCCCACCTCGCAGCCACCCTCCTCAGGGGAGATCCATCCCCTTGTCCCTGCCTCCTTGTCTTCTGTCCCCAGGAGGCTCAGGTCCCCATCACTTTCTCCTGACTTGGGGCACTGCCAGTGCTGCCGCTTTAGGTTTTGGGACTTTGGGCAGATCACTGGCTTCTGTGAGACTTGGCTCCTGCCCTTAGTCTGCTGAAGCCCATGGTTGGGTGAGGAGACTCAGGGCCCTACCTCTCCAGGGGAACTTACTATGGGTAGGCACTGGGCCAGGATCCCGCTCCGAGGTCTGCAGTAGCTGGAGCTGGCTGTGTTCAGCTGGATGCAGCACTGGCTCCAGCATTCATCATGGTGGCTGCACTCGTAGTCATTGGGCTGTGAGCAGGGCCGAGAACCTATGTCAGAGTTAGGGACCCGGATCGGGGCAGGGGAACCAGCTTGAGGCCACCTGCCCTCCTGCTGCCCGGCCTCACCCGCTCAAGCTGACCTTGCGCCAGGACACGCATTGCAGGAAGATGGTCTTGACAGTGCAGAACTTGTGTGGGCTGGAGCTATTCCTCACGCAGCAGTTGCTCTTGCACTCATTGTGGTGTGTACAGTGGTACCCTTTGGGCTGTGCACAGAAGGGAGATCTGTCCCCTCTGTTTCCTCTATGTCCTTCAGAACACTCCCTCAAGTGGCCCCCAGGACACCCCTTTTCTTAGGAGATCTATCCCCTGTATCCCCTGCCCTGGAACACCCCCTTCCTGGACAGACCTGTTTCCTGTGTCCCCTACCCTCTCCCAGAAGCAGGCGGAAATGGGGGTGACACCAGTTCTCACTGACACAGGACCCACCTTTCGCCATGGCAGGCACTGCAGGGAGATGCTCTGGGGGGAGCAGAACTTCTGGGGGTTCAGGCTGTTGGTGGTGCAGCATTCACTCTGGCACTCTTTCCTGTTCTCACAGGGCTCTCCAATGCCCTGCAACATGAGGGTCCTTGGGGGACTCCTGCACTCTCCCTCAACCCCTTTTCCCTGCACTTGCCTCCTCCAGTTGCTAGAAGGATCAGTAATCAAGAGGGGGAAACCAGTGCCCAGAGGGTAAACAAAGTCAAGGGGGATGCAGAGGGCATGCATAAGAGGGCTGCAAGCATATGCCCCATGTTCCTTAGGAGGTAGAGACAGGGCCCAGCAAAACAGTTCAATGACTAAATCCTCGCCTTGAATGTGCCAGGATCCCATATGGGCACTGATTCATGTCCTGGAGGCACCGCTTCCCATCCAGCTCCCTGCTTGAGGCCTGGGAAAGTAGTTGAAGCTGGGCCAAAGCCTTGGGGCTCTGCACCCACATGGGAGACCTGGAAGAAGCTCCTGGCTTCAGATTGGCTCATCTCTGGTCATTGTGGCCATTTGGGGAACAAATCAGCAGATGGAAGCTCTTTCTCTCTGTCTCTCCTTCTCTCTAGAAATCTACATTTCCAATGAAAATAAAATAAATTAAAATAAATAAATAAATAAATAAAAGGCAGAGACGGAGTGAGAGTTCCAATTCAAATGTCTGCAACAACTGGGGCTGGGCCAGGCCTAAACCAGGAGGCCAGGCATCAACTGCTGCCACCAGACAGCACATCCGTGGGAAGCTGGACTTGAGAGTGGAGCTGGGACTGAAACCCAGGCCCTCTGCCCTGGGATGGCATGTCTGCCTCAGCCACTGCCATCATCTCACAGAGACATCCCATAGAACAAGGCCATCAACTGGGGGCCCCACACTTTGATCTTATAGAATCAGCAGTGACAACAATGTGAACATGGGTCCTGTTTTCCTTGGGCTCCAAGTCAACCACAGACAGCGGCCATGCCTGGGAGGCATGCATGAGGGCAGCCACCATGGAGGAGTCATTAGGAGAGCCAGAGGACAGATTGCTGGACCTGGGAGCTGCTGCCCAGCAGGTGGCAGTCACGGCAGTCTATCTCGGACTTCTGCTGTGCTTTTGTTTTCTGAATCCTATCTTCATGGCGGAAGCTTGAAGGGACATGGTGCGTGGTGGGGGTGGGAGGGTGAGAGCACTGGCTCCCCCAGTCTGGCTCTGATTGGTGCTGGGGAGCATTACGGGGGTCTGGGACAGCACATGTCACTTCATGTTGAAGTCACTCACCCAAGTTACTCCTTGCTGTGCTCCCTGTGTCCTTCTGGCGGAGACCATGAGCTCTACAGGGACCCTTAATCCCCACACTGCTTGGTGAGAGGGAGGGCCGTGTGGGCAGGTCTGTGGGGGGTATGGGATTGGGGGCTGTGTGGGCAGGTCAAGGGGGGGACTGGAGAAGGGGAGAGCTGTGTTGGCAGGTTTAGGGGGGCCTGAGGAGGGGGTGGGCTGGTGTGGGCTGGTCTCAGGAGCCCAGGGAGGGGGAGGGCTGTGTGGGCAGGCCCCGTGGGCAGGTCGGGGGGGGCAGGGAGGAGGAGACCCGTGTGGGCAGATCTAGGGGGCCCAGGGAGGGGGGAGCCCTGTGGGCAGGTCTGGGGGGTCAGGGAGGGGGAGGGCTGTGTGGGCAGGTCTGGGGGTCCCAGGGAAAGGGAGGAAGGTGTGGGGGAAGCCTGGGCTCACCTTGTGAGACATTATCACTTTGTTCCATCCTGGGGGGAGCAGCAGCAGCAGCGGCAGCAGAGTCCACAGAGTACCGGTCATGATGCACTGCAGGCCTGCGGGTGATTCCCAGTGACTGGCCACACCCCTGAACAGAAGGTGCAGGCCCTGCCTTCCACCACTGCCTTTCCCTTGCAAAACAGATTTTAAAAACTATTTGGGGCCCGGCGCGGTGGCGCAAGTGGTTAAGGTCCTCACCTAGCACGCCCGGGATCCCATATGGGCGCCGGTTCTAATCCCGGCAGCCCCACTTCCCTTCCAGCTCCCTGCCTGTGGCCTGGGAAAGCAGTCGAGGACGGCCCAAAGCTTTGGGACCCTGCACCCGCGTGGGAGACCCGGAAGAGGCTCCTGGCTTCGGACCGGCATAGTATCGGCCCGTCGCGCTCACTTGGGGAGTGAATCATCGGACGGAAGATCTTCCTCTCTGTCTCTCCTCTCTGTATATCCGCCTTTCCAATGAAAAAATAATAAAAATAAATCTTTAAAAAAAAAAAAAACTATTTGATGGGGCCCGGCATGATAGTGTAGTGGTTAAAGTCCTTTCCTTGAATGCGCCAGGATTCCATATGGGTGCTGCTTCTAATCCCAGCAGCCCTGCTTCCCATTCACCTCCCTCCTTGAGGCCTGGGAAAGTAGTCCAGGACAGCCCAAAGTCTTGGGAGCCTGCACTCACATGTGGGAGACCCGGAAGAGCTCCCTTTCTCTTTGTAAATCAACCTTTCCAATAAAAATAAATAAATCTTTACAAAAAGAATTGATTTTTGAGATTTGATTTTAAATGCTTTATTAATTTACTTGAAAAGCAGAGTTAGAGATCTACCTGCTGTTCACTCCCTGGTCGTGTGGGGGTAGGACCTGCTGAAGCCAGGAGTCAGGAACTTCCTCCAAGTCTCCCTGTGCACAGGGGGACAGGCACCTGGGCCGTCCTCTGGTGCCTCCTGCATGCATATCCACTGGGAGCAGGTCCCCCCAGGAGAGGGCATGATGAGCAGCACCACACACAACCATTCAAGTCCCTCTTCCAGAATGAGATGACCTCGTCAGACCCACTGTGGTGCTATGTGCACACTACACATAGAAACAGCGCTCTTTAGTGCAGTCTGTTGGGACACCGTAGAGTCCTCCACCTAGGAGTATGTGGGTCTCTAGCTGTGGCCGCTTTGGTGTCTCCTCACCCCCATAGCCATGAGTACCCAGGCAGTGCCTGAGCCTGGAACAGTCTGTCTCCCACTCAGGTGGCCAAAGCTTCCAGACAACCAATTGCTAGCCTGGAGACACCAACTAGCCCAGGCTACTGGCACCGCACCAACAAGAAGAGCCTGTTTCCTACCTGGTGGGGTCCCACCACACCATTCCTCCTGCTCCACCTTGAACTGAGAGACAATTTTTCTAGCCTCAAGTCTTTTCCTGTTATGGATCAAGACCCAGTGTCCAAGATTGGCATGATGTACTTGGGGGATCCCAGACACATGGCTCAGCAGATCATGGCCACAGGCAGCAGCTCTGGTTCCCAACAGGTCACTGGACACCCCAGCGCCCACCAGCCTTCATTGTGTTCTCCCCATTAACCCAGGTCATGTGACCTCCCGCCTGTTGTGTTGTCCACTCATTGTAGGGCACTGGGCATCGAGTGCAGTCTGTAGGGCAGTCCTTTCTCCCAAGGAAAAAGAGGGGATGAATACCATAGGCAATGTGTGTGCTGAAAAGACGAAACCCTGTGGTAGCCACTGTGCCACACACAACACACACGACATGCACAGCACGTGTATGACAATGGGGCTCATGGGTACAGCAGTGAGGTAGGCAGGAGTTGCAGGCTAGCGACTGTGTGCCCTGTCTCCTGCATTCTCCTACTTTGCCCAGGCTCTTCATGTGTGTGTGCTTCAAGTCGTTGTGGTCCCTGGGACCCCCAGGAGCCCTGGGAAACTGCAGGCTCCAGTCTCAGCTGGGAGGGGAGTCCACCCAGGGCCCAGCACTCTTGGGTTTGGAGGCCAGCCTCACATCTCTCACCCCTGACTCCCTGTGTTTCTCAGGACGGCTTCCGGGTTGGGCTGAGCCCCACACGTTGCCTTGGGCCCTTGGGAGGTTTTTCCCATCCTCTGCTCACATCGTACCCTGTACTCTTACTGATATCTCTTACCTCAGATCCCGCTGAGCTACTCTGTGGGCCTAAGTACACACCTCATCCCGATCATGCTGTTAGTGCGCCTCCTGACCAGTGGTTTGCCTCTCTGTAGCCCCTGGAGAACAGGTGCCTGCCACTGCCCTGCAGCAGTACCGGGAGCCTAGAGGGCAATTCCAGTGTTTTGGCCCTGAGGCCCTGTGGGAGACCTGAGAAAACTCCAGGCTCCTGGCCTCAGACTCAGCCGGCTCTCGCCAAGGGGGCGTGAAGTAATGCTGAAAGATCTGTGTGACTATCTGTAACTGCCTTTCCAATTGATCATCTAAATTTTATGTTGGCATTGCAGGAGGCAGCTTCCTCTCTGCAACACATACTGGCTCTTAAACAGGTTTTTTTTTTTTTTTTTGAGATCTATTTATTTTTATTGCAAAGTCAGATATCCAGAGAGGAGAGGAGAAAGAGAGAAACATCTTTCATCCATTGACTCACTCTTCAAGTGACTTCAATGGCTGGAGCTGAGCTGATCTGAAGCCAGGAGCTTCTTCTGGGTCTCCCACATGGGTGCAGTGTCCCAAGGCTTTGGGCCATCCTTTACTGCTTATCCAGGCCACAAGCAGGGAGCTGGATGGGAAGTGGGGCTGCCGGGATTAGAACTGGCACCCTTATTGGATTCTGGCAGATGCAAGGCGAGGACTTTAGTCATTAGGCCACCGCACTGGGCCCAATAAACAACAGTTTTAAAGAAAACACTCACATTTAAAAATGGGCAGAGAACTTGAATAGATTTTTCCTCCAAAGGAGTATGAAAAGATGACCCAGTATCTTTAATCATGAAGGAAACCACATTGGAATCACGAGGTAACATTTCACATCTACTATGGTGGGGTGGCCAGGACTCAAATGAGTGGGAAATGGCAAGCAAATACTTGTTGCTGCTGGTGAGTGTGTAAAATGGCTTGGTTAACAACGGAAACAAAGTTACATCCTAGGCCGGAATCCCATTCCCAAGTGTAGAGGTCAAATACTTGAGAACAGATATTCTGTTAAAGGGAAAACGGGACAAAACAGATTTAACAAATTAAACAGAGCCAGGAGGAGTGATGAGCTGCGAAACACCCAGAACTGGGGCAGCTACAGCAGGAGCAGCTGGGTGGTCTGTCTGTCTGGCAGCCTGGGCAGGCTGCACACTCCTAAGCATGTTTTCTGCTTGTCCCTGGGCTAGAAACTGGAGTTAGACAGATGCCAGTGTAGATACCCAGACACAAGTGCTCCTGACCATTCTAGTACATCCACACAATTGGACAGCGTGGCCCCACCAGGAGCGAAGCGCCTCATGCTGGGTCTGTGGGAGCCACAGCTGCCATGCTGAGTGCAAACACCAGGCACAAACCCTGTCTGTTGTGCAGTTTCCTTCACAGGAGCTTCCAATGAACCCTGGGACAGGCAGCCTGTCAGCAGCTTGGTGGCTCCCTCATGGGGAGGCGGCCTGCCCTCTTAAAGGAAGTGGTACTCAGTGGAGGTGCCGAGTTAATCTCATGGGAAGCATAAAGTGTAAAATATCCTCCCACAGAATACTAGGATGTTTGAAATTTACTTGCCTCAAGATAATACGAATGAAGTGGGGATATCAAAGAGGGGTGGGCATTGTGCTGCAGTGACAGCCGGCATCCCACAGCACAGCGTGGTTCCAATCCTTTTTGCTCCAGTTCCTATCCAGCTCCCTGTCAACACCCCTGGGAAGGCAGCAGGGGTGGCTCAAATGTGTGGGTCCTTGCATCCAAGTGGCAAACCCACACAGAGTTCCTGGCTCCTGGCAAGTCAAAGGGAAGATACCCCTTGTCCCTCCCTCCCTCTTTCACACTGCCTTTAAAATAAGTGAACATTTGAAAAACGTACAAAACATGTTGGCTTTGCAAAGGACAGTGGACAGGAGGTGAAGGAATGCCGGGGTTGGAGCCACTGTAGCCCCTGGGGAGACCTGGGGGTGGGGAAAGCAGGGGTTGGAGCCAGTACAAGGTGTAGGAGAGGAGACCAGGGACCATAGGTGAAGGTCAGGTCCCCGGAATGTCCCCCCCACCCCCGCACTCGAAGTCACCCGAAACTCTGCCTGGCCGGGGACACCTGCCCGGTGCAGGGAGGGCGGGGCTGAGCGCATAGTCCACGCCCCCAAGCGCCCTGGCTCTCAGCTGGCGCCCCTCCGGCCAGCGGCGGCTGGACCCTCCAGTCAAGCTTGGGCGGCTCCCGGCAGCTGGGGCGGAGTGTGGTCTGCACCATGGCTGTACCGCAGCCCAAACCCCTGGCAGGGGTGGCGGCCGTTCGGCGCTTGGCCCGGGGCTGCTGGTCCGCCTTCTGGGACTACGAGACGCCCAAGGTGGTGGTGGTGAGGAACCGGCGCCTGGGGGTCCTGTACCGCTCCGTGCAGCTTCTCATCTTGCTCTACTTCGTGTGGTGCGCGGGGTCGTCCCTTGGGAGACAGGGGTATGGGGCCACGGGCATCCAGCCAGGAGTTGTGGAAGGGATGGGGACCAGGGCTGGACCACCCCGCAGAGATGCATCCCCGGTCCCAAAGGGGAGGGTCCTGCTGGGGCCCACGACCCTCCAGAGCCAGCGCCGGCGCCCCGCAGGTACGTGTTCCTGGTGCAGAAAAGCTATCAGGACCGGGAGACCGGGCCCGAGAGCTCCATCATCAGCAAGGTCAAGGGCGTTACCACCTCGGAGTACAAAGTGTGGGACGTGGAGGAGTACGTGAAGCCGCCTGAGGTATGGCCAGAGCCGCCCGACCCAGGGGGCAGAGATCATGGTGGGGTCTGCCTGGCTGACTGCTCCTTTTTCTGAGCCCAGGGGGGCAGCGTGTTCAGCATCATCACCAGGATTGAGACCACCCCTTTCCAGACTCTGGGGACCTGTCCTGAGGTGAGGCAGGGGTCCAGGTGAAGCAGGGGTGGGGTGGCTATTCAGCTGCGGGTGTGTGTTAGGGGTCCTGACCAGGTATCTTTGCTCCAGAGCATCAGGGTTCCCAATGCCACCTGCCACTCAGATGATGACTGTGCTGCTGGGGAACTGGACATGCTGGGGAATGGTCAGTGTGCACCAGCCTGGGCGGGGACACTGCTGAGGGTGTGCCCCCACCTTCACCTCAGCCATGTCTTCCACAGGGCCGCGCACTGGCCGCTGCCTGCCCTATTACCACGGGTCGGCCAGGACCTGCGAGGTGTCTGGCTGGTGCCCAGTAGAAGATGGAGCCTCTGTCAGGTGTGTAGCACGTGGGGTCCTCACCTCCCCAGGACCTCAGCTGGCCTGTGTGCTCTTCCTGTTCCATCACCAAAGAATAATGCTGGGAGTGGGGCAGGACACAGAGACTTCCTGGGTGGGCGTGGAGGACCCTCCGGAACTGAACAACCCTCATCTCCCCTTCAGCCAATTTCTGGGTAGAATGGCACCAAACTTCACTATTCTCATCAAGAACAGCATCCATTACCCCAAATTCCACTTCTCCAAGTAAGAGCCTGTGGGTGGTTCCAGGGACAGGGTGGACAAAGGCCTGCAGCCTGGGTCTCAGAGTGCAGTCCCCACCCTCTGCTGCTCCCCAGGGGTAACATTGCTAGCCGCAAGGACGACTACTTGAAGCATTGCACCTTTGATGAGGCCTCTGACCTCTACTGCCCCATCTTCAAGCTAGGCTTCATCGTGGAGCAGGCTGGGGAGAACTTCTCAGAGATTGCATACAAGGTGAGACCAGGGGCTTCTGGGACGGTATGACAGGAAGCCCCAGCTGCAGCCCAGCTGGCCCTGCTCAGGCAAAGGGGGGCATGGTGTGAACATAATACCTGCTCACACACCTGAGTGCCCAGTGGGTCCTTGGCATGCCCCAGAGCTGGACTCCTGGCTTCTCCCTTCTCTCTGCTCGCAGGGAGGTGTCATTGGGGTCATCATCAACTGGGACTGTGACCTGGACCTGCCGGCCTCAGAGTGCAACCCCAAGTATTCCTTCCGGAGGCTCGATCCCAAGCATGTCCCTGCCTCATCAGGCTACAACTTCAGGTAGCTGATCCCCAGTAAGTCTGGATTACCCCTGTGAGAAGCACCAGGGCAGGTCTGGGGGTTTAACTGTGGGCTGCTGGGTCCTTCCATTCTAGGTTTGCCAAGTATTACCAGATAAACGGCACCACCACCCGCACACTCATCAAGGCCTATGGGATTCGCATTGACATCATTGTGCACGGACAGGTGACCAAAGGCTGCCCTGCCCTGCTCATCTCCCTCAGCCCTCCCTGGAGCCCCTAGAGGGTGAATGAAGACAATCCTGTTCTCCCAGGCAGGGAGGTTCAGCCTGATTCCTACCGTCATTAATCTGGCCACGGCTCTGACTTCCATCGGGGTGGTAAGGAACCCACTCAGGGCGCCTTGGTGGGTGTGGAGGGTCTGCCAGGCCCTTATGCCCTCATCTGCTGGCCCCAGGGCTCCTTCCTGTGTGACTGGATCTTGCTAACGTTCATGAACAAAAACAAAGTCTACAGCCATAAGAAATTTGACAAGGTGTGTACACCAAGGCCCCCAACTAGCTGGCCTGTGACCCTTGCCCTTGTGTTGGGCCAGGCCCCCCCTCCCCCCAGCCCAGCCCCATGGCCTTGCCCCCTCTTTGTCCCATCTGAGCAGATGGACACTCTTGACCAGAGTGCAGGGCAAAGGGTTCTCGCCTCCGAGCCTCCCCAACAGAACTCCATGCTCCCGGACCCCAAAGGTTTGGCCCAACTTTGAGCTTCCTGTCCTGCTGTACTACAGACCTGGGCCAGTGGGGTCACAGACAGCCCCCAACTGCCCTGGAAACCATGCAGGGGGCCTGCTCAGGATCCTGAGTGGCACTCCTGCCTCAGGCTGCCCTCCTCTCCACCCTGCGTCTACAAGCCTCACAACCTCAAGCCTTTGCAAGCCTTACCTTAGAGTTCATGTGCTTTGAGTCCAATAAACCTGTGACAAACCTCCTTGCCTTGTTCCTGGAAAACCTGAGCCAGTCAACAATGCAGGTAGTCATCAGTCCCCTGCTTGGACCACCTGCCCTCTTCCCAGCTGGGCTGCACAACACATACCAGTCAGACTGCACAGGGACCCCTGGGGCGCACCTACTTGCTTCTGCAGGCTTGCCAAAGATCACACCCCCTAATTTCCAAAGGCAAAGGAATGGTGACAGAGCAGCCTGCAGCTGTTGCACATGAGGAAAGTGGATTCCTCTGTTAAAAGCATGGTGCACACTGCACTGTGATGGAAATGTGAGCAGCAGTAGGGCAGAACACATGACAAGAGAGATGCAGGGCAGGGGTGGCAAAAGTAGAGTCCTGGGGCCTGGCACCATCAGGCTACAATGATAGATGGGGGCCAGCCACCTGGCTCAATGGCAGTTGATCACGGTCAGCAAGGCACTGTGCTGGCCACTCATGCAGACCTCGTTTGTGATGGTGCCAGGTGCCGTCTCATCTGTCTCATCTCTAGCTCCTCACCCCGAGTAACATCTTCAGGTGGCCAGGCTGTCCGTGTTCATTTCAGCCCTCCCTCCAGGCTTCCAAAGCCCCAGAACACCAGCACCTAGCTCACAAGGTGTCCACTGTTGGTTTCAGAGAAACTGGCTTTTCCACTTGTGTCCCTGTCAACAGCTCAGAAACCAGGGTGAAAGTCAGTGTCCCATTTCCAAGCTCTCAGCCTCCTCAAATGGCCCTACCCCTTAGCTGGCCTCAGTGAGTCAGAGATTGGCTGGCGCTTACAGCTGTCCCAGCAACCTGTCCTGCTGTTGGGAGGCCTTGCTGGGGACAGATGGCTGTCCCCTGGGCTGATCCCGCTCTCATTGCTTCCAGGAAGACTTGTTAACTCATGCCCCCACCCTCCTTCTTCCGCCCTAATTTGATTGTATTTCTACCCTGCTCAGACCGTACTCACAGTGGGTGTCAGGTTTCTTTGCGCCAGCAGCCTGAATGCCCAGACAGTCAGAGAGAGCTGGGCCTGCTCACCTCCCAGGGGCCAGCATGTTTAGCACACATCCCCCACAGGAACAGAAAGGGGAAACTAGAGTGTGACCAGTAGTCAGGCAGTAAGGTGAGTGGATACCTTGCCATGAGGCGCCAGGCATGTGGGCTATGGTGTGTGGGACACTGGTTTGGCTGGGTTTTCCTGCTTCTTGCTATTCCTGTTACAGAGGAAAAGAAAAGGCACCCTAAGCTACATGAGATGCTGAAGCCCAGGAGGGGTCCCTTGTCACTGAGAAGCCACACCTGTGGGAACCTTCCCTTTTCTTAAGATTTATTTATTTTTTGTGCCCGGCGGTGAGGCCTAGCGGCTAAAGTCCTCGCCTTGAACGCGCTGGGATCCCATACGGGCGATGGTTCTGGTTCCGGCAGCTCCACTTTCCATCCAGCTCCCTGCTTGTGGCCTGAGACAGCAGTCAAGGACGGCCCAAACCTTTGGGACCCTGCACCCGTGTGGGAGACCTGGAGGAAGTTCCTGGATCCTGGCTTCGGATCGGCATAGCATAGGCCATTGCGCTCACTTGGGGAGTGAATCATCAGATGGAAGATCTTCCTCTCTGTCTCTCCTCCTCTCTGTATATCTAACTTTCCAATAAATAAATAAATAAATTAACAGAGTAAATTAACAGAGCAAGAAGAGACAGTAAGATATCCCATCCACTGGTTCACACCTCAAGTGGTAGTAACAGCCAGAGCTGAGCAGATCTCAAGTCAGGTGCCATGAGGCTCCTCTGGGTCTCCTATGCAGGTGCAGGGTCCCAAGGCTTTGGACCATCCTCTTGTGCTTTCCCAGGCCACAAGCAGGGAGCCAGATTGGAAGTGGAACAGCTGGGACAGCCCATATGGGATGACAGCACTTGCAGGTGGGATGATTAGCCAATCAAGCCACCACACCAGACCCAAACCTTCCCTTTTTATGCTCCAACACAGCTGACCCTAAACCCAGATCAACACAGGGTAGACAGTGGGTGAGGTGAGCACGGTGGCTTCTGGTTGCTCTTAGGGCCCATTGCAAGCTCCATGGCCTCTAGTGACTGCTGAAGGGATGACGATGTCTCCCTTTGGCCATCAGGAACCTGGGCGGGGAGTGACTCACTGGAGTTCAGTGTCCCCAGCAGATCCACTGAAGCTCAGAAACGAGGGGCAAAGGTGTTGCTGTCCTTCCTCTCCTGTGTGAGTCAGGCAGGCTCTCTGTGGGGACCAGGTGGGCTACAGGCCCATCCTGCCAGCCCTGGACTGGGATGCTGCCCCCATACCCTGCCCTCAAGTGGAAGGGTTCACAAGAAGCACAGGGCAGGGACAGCTTTAGAGATTGAGTTTCCTGGAAACTAGCCCAAATTCTGTTCCTGTGAGGATGTGGGGAAGGCCTACTTCTCTACTCAAGGCCAGCAGCCCCTATGTCACCTCAGAGCCCAACACCCCAAGAAGCAGAAGGGACTGGGGGTCGAGTACGTATCTCAGGGTGCAAAACATGAAACACATTTATTGATGGGAAATGACGTAGGGAGCCCACACCTACTTTAGCAGGTGCATAGTAGGGTGGAGCGATTTCCCACTCCTGTTCACTGGTGCCACCTAGGTTAACCCCACTCCCTTAGTCTGTGGTGGAGAGATGGGGTGGTGATGGGGTCCCTTGGGGCCGGGGACAGAGTGTCTGGAGCAGAGGGTGTCTGGTTTACTAGAGGTCCAGCTGAGGGCTTTTCTGCATCAGCCACTCCAAGGTTTCCATGAGATACGACATGCTATAGTGCTGGGCAATGTTCCGGAAGATTCCAATCTGCTCCATGAAGATCTGCAGGAATGAGGAAACAGTGACAACTATCCCACTCCCTTTCCCAATCCAAGTGGGTGAGGCTCAGCTGAGGCTGAGCTGTTACCAGAAGCTGAAGTCCCACCTGAGTGCGGATGGTGAGGGAGAAGTCTCCTGCGCAGCTGCAGTACACGGGCATGTGGGTCTCCTTCACTCCACGGCACTTCACACAGACCTGAAACGAGCAGCAGTCCAGTGGTCACTGGCTCCTCAGGCCCACAGTGGCTTCCTTGGGAGGGGCACATGTGGGCAATTCTGAAACTGATGTATGCATTCCAGGCCACATTATGGACAAAATCGGAGGCTTCATCAAAATCATGCCATCATTTTTCTGATGATCCCCAGTCCCTGGGGATTTCTTCAGAGCTCTAGCTCTGTTCAGGCCTGAGGCCTTCCGTGGGAACACTTCCTGGGTAGGACCTTCCGGCTGTTCAGCAGGGTGCTCTGGTGACTGCCTTCCCCTTCTGTTCTCCCGGTATGCTCATCAGACACATCTTGCTCACCATGGTGTCTCCCTCGATGCCCTCACCACACACACCTTGCTCATTATGGGGACTGTTTCCTTCCATAGAAGCCAATAAGGCCAGCTCTTGCCCTACAGATGCTGATAGAGTGAGCATACTGGGCTCCTAGATGTGGCCTGGTCCATCTTAGTGGACACTGGGGCAAAACTTGGAATCAGTTCTTGACTTGGCGCAAGTGCAAATCAGCATGCAGACACTCTGAGCCAATGCAGGGAGGGTACTCACCAGGTCCTGGAGGGTGAAGGCCATCAGCTTCCTCTGTAGGGCCTCCACCAGGGCCATCTCGATGACAGATGAGTCATAGGCGGCCTGGCAGTTGGAGCAGAGCCACTGAGGCAAGATGGCCCCATCCTAGGGAGAGGAGGAGAGGGGTGAGAGGTTCCCCAGCAAGTCTCCAGAGGAGGCCAAGGTGTTGAGAGGTGCTCTGGGAGAGAGGTGTACATTCACCAGGGTAGCTTTGGGGTATACCACGGTGATGAGCAGGAGGATCCAGCTTTTGATCCACAGAGAAACCCCAATGTGGGGACAGCAGGAGCCACAGTCCCACTCCAGTTGTCGCAGACATGTAAATGTCCCAGCCCACCAGGCAGGGCTCTGTGGGGGCCGAGTCTCACCTGGGAGAAGGCAGAGTCTTTGCACAAGTCCAAGTCCCGGCAGAAATTGCAGCTGCGGCAGATGACCTCTGCGAGCACGTAGGAGCGGCAGGGGTCTCTGAACTGGGCCTCCTCGGAGAACTCACCGACGCCTACCAGGCGCAGCAGGTCTCGGTTCAGCTTATTCACCTGGTTAGTGATGTTGGTGTCCAGGGACAGGACCTGCAGAGGTACCCGCCCATCAGAAGGGAATTCCAGAGCGAGAGCTTCCATCCAGGTCTCCCATGTGGGTGGCTGGGGCCCAACTACCTGGGCCCTCATCTGCTGCCTTCCAGGTGAAATCAACAGGAAACTGAATTGGAAGCAGAGCAGCTGGGACTCCAGTATGGGATGCTGGCATCTCAAGCAGTGCCTTAACCTGGTGTTCTGCAATGCCAGCTCCTGTCAGCTGACTCCTTTTAAAGACTTATTTATTTTATTTATAATTCTAAAATTATGTTAATTATACAATCATAAACTGAGACAATTACAACTTAAGATACAAATTATAAATATAATTTTTAAAAATTCTAAATAATTTAAAAATTATTTATTTTATTGGAAGACAGATTTATGGAGAAGGAGAGACAGAAAGGTATTCCATTTGCTGGTTCACTACCCAGATGGCTACAATGGCCAGAGCTGAGCCAATCTGAGGCCGGGAATTTCTTCCAGGTTTCCCATGCAGGCTCAGGGTCCCAAGGCCTTGGGCACCCTCTACACTTTTCCCACAGCATAAGCAGAAAGCTGGATGTGAAGTGGAGCAGTTGGAACATGA